TGGGTTGGGTGCGTCGTAACAGTCAAAGCACTGTGTGTGTGTCTCTGTGTATGTGACTTCCTGCCGGTCATAAAAGTAATCTCCTCACTCAATCTACACCAAATTCCTTTAGACAACATACAAAACACAGTTAACATATTACAGACACTGAGACCCCCACTCTGCATCCACTGAGACAAAAGAATGTCTCTGAGCATACAGTTTAAGGCAAGGCTTACAAATTTAAGTACAATAATGGCAACATTTAATAATTTCAACCTAACACTAGCCATGAGTCATACTGGTCACAAAATAAAGTACAAATCTAGAACTAATTTAACACATTATTACGAGTCCTTTCCTCTGTAGCTTGAACAATTAATGCGTTGGCAACTTTAAAATGCATCCACACCTTCTCTGTCAATATTCCTTTCAACTAAGCTGATGCCTCAGCAGCTGGTGATTGCAAAAACATTGACTTATCTAAGCGATTTATATCTAATGGCTTAACAAGTAACATAGTAGAAATAGCACAAATAATACCCTAAAATTCCTTGACACGTAAAAATATGAATTTTACAAGAGAGAACTAACATGCCAATTAGGCCTATTCAAGAATCAACTTTCATTGCCATCATGGAAAGAGAACAGGCATCAGCTAACATATTATCAGCAAAGATCATAATGTGTGTTTTAATGCAAAAGTTTTACATAACACTTCTGTTTTGTAAATATTAAATAACTACTTCCCAATGTTTCATTCTCCATCCACCCGTCCATTTTCTTCCGCTTATCCGGAGCCGGGTCGCGGGGGCAGTAGCCCAAGCAGAGAAGCCCAGACCTCCCTCTCCCCAGACACCTCCTCCAGCTTATCCGGGGGAATACCATGGCATTCCCAGGGCAGCCAAGCGATATAATCCCTCCACTATGTCCTGTCCCGGGGGCCTCCTCCTGGTGGGACATGCCCGGAAAAACTTGCCCAGGAGGCATCCTTGTCAGATGCCCGAACCCCTCTTAACTGGCTCGTTTCGATGTGGAGGAGCAGCGGCTCTACTCTGAGCCCCTCCCGAATGGCCGAAATTCTCACCCTATCTCTAAGAGTGAGAAGACCCCTATGAAGAGACCATCGAGGGAACAGTTCAGCCTGCCCGGGATAGGGTGCCCGAGGGCAAGCGTCTGGTGGCCGGGTGTTAGTCCATGGGGCCCGGCCAGGCACAGCCCGAAAAAGGGACATAGGCCCACCACCCACAGGAGGCACCAAAGGGGTCAGGTGCAATGTGAGTCGGGCGGCGGCCAGGAGCAGAGGTCCTGGTGGACCGATTCTCAGCTATCAAGAATATTTCATTCTATTTAGTAATTATAACAATGGTTCTTTCACTTGCAAAAAACAAATAAGAAAAATATAAAAAAATTTATACAATTTTATTTTTGGGTCTTGTTCACAAGTGAAGGTAGATCGACCGACAAATTGGTGCTGCGGCTGCAGTGATGCAGACGCTGTACTGGTCCGTCATGGTAAAGAGAGAGCTGAGTATAAAAGCAAAGCTTTGAATTTACCAGTTACCCTACCCTCAAGCTAGAGGAGGTGGCCCAAATGTTTAAATAATAGATTCCATTTATAAAGCATGTAAGGAAAAAAATAACACAATGTCACAGACTCCAGGCACAGAGACATCCATAAAGACAAGTGATGAGGGATGAGGACTGCGGGATGAGAACAAAAACACACAAGAGACACAAGGTTACAATAAATACTAAAAGTTTCACTGAAGGCCTAATCACTGTGAGTTGAAAAAATAAAAGATCACAGTGACATCAGTGGCAGAGAAGTATTAATGAGGATATGCTATTGTAGTTCTTTTGGCAGGATCTGGTGGCTTTGTCGAGACAACTTAAGCTGGTTTTAGTAACCTCATTGAATCATCAGCACTATTTTTTGCAAATCAAACCCAGTTTGTGCTGCAAACTGGGTTTGATTTGTTTATAAATTAGTGCAATTTGTAGATCAGCTGTAGAGTCTTTTGCTCTAATGAGGCCATTTGTAGCATCATCAGAATCTATGCCACATCATACATTTGCCTCATGGAGTCTAACACTGCTATTTCTAAGGCTTCTACTGCAGGGTTAGGAATTGTGGTCAGAAAGTCTTTAGTCTCTCACATAGCAACAACCTAAGACTGGATATCAATGCTGCAGGAGACTGTTAAGATAAAGAGGAGACCTTTCTGGCTTGTTTACTCCAGGAATGTCCTGAATCAGCACACAGGGGCCAATAGAAATAAAGCAACTTTGTAGTTCAGTATCAAAGTCTGGGGCAAGAACAGTTTAAGCAGGCAATGGACAATGAACTTTCAGTCAGTTTCAAGAAAGTTCTGGTAAACATCGTGTGACTCAGGAGGTGAAAGTAGGACTTGATTCAAACCAGCTGAGGACTGCACCCGGCTGTCGCTGCCTGAGCAGGGTCAGTGCTCTACGCAGCTGCTGTCTCTCTCATGTGTGCCAGAGGACCCCGTGCTGCTGGTTTTGTTTTGTGTTTGCCAGAGGCCCATGTGTCTGCTGGTTCTGTGACTGTTCTTGCTTGGGTGTCTGAGGAACTGCTCCAGCCTTCGGTCTTCGCTGGAGGGTCCGAGGAGCTGCTTCAGCCTTCGCTGGAGGGTCCAAAGATCTGCTCCAGCCTCCTGCTTCTGCGGCTTCCACGCCAGCCTGCAGTGCCACCACCTGTGGCTTCCATGCCATCGCCTGCAGCTTCAGCCTCGCCTGGCCCTGCGGTTGCCATGCCGCTGCCTTTTCCGCGGTCAGCACCTCAACATCACCGGCCACCTTCCAGGCCGCTGGTGGGATTTCATCGCCGTCATGGACAACTCCTGAACGGCCTCCTGAAAGGTGTCGCTGCCGCGGCCTTCCGCCTGGCTGGCCTCTGGATTTGTTCTGCCCACGTCGCTGCCGTCTTCCACGCAGCTGACCTCCGTCTTAAAATACGGAATCGTCCCGTATTTAGAAACAAAAGTACACGTCCCGTATTGAGCTAATAAGGGACGCACTTTGTCCCGTAATACAGTGAGAATCACAAAATAGTCTATAAATGTTAATGGATATTAACGCTTTGTTTGAAAACATAATTCCCAGCCCCTCTCCTGCTCTGTGTGACCAATGAGCTGACAGCACACTTATGCAATTCGAGTATAACAATTCAGATTACCGCTTATCTATTGGTCCGAGGAAAGGTCCGTGCGGAGAAGATACCGGAAGACAACAGATGACCAGCATGGCCAACAGAGAGACAAACACTGACACTGCGGCGCGACTCTGGGACGACAGTACACCTTTGAACAACAGTGCTTGTTCCCCTCCTAGAAAGAAAAAAAAAAGGTTGCAAAAATACAGGGAGGAATGGGAAAAGGAAAACACTGGCTGGAAAAGTGCGCGATAACACCGTATAAAGCGCACTGCACTGTGTGCCGGCGCACTTTTTCCATTTGCAGTGGACTATGCGTTACGATGTACTGGTGGGCACATGAGAACTATGAGGGGCGTGAAATCGAGGGAACCCTTGACCAATTTGTTGTCCACCAGTGCCACGGCAGAAGCAGATATGGTATGTAAACATTGTTGTTTTTTTAAACCCTCTGGTTAAGGTTAATATGGGCATGTGCATGAATATCAGCGCTATGTGGCCAGAAGTGTGATAATATAATTTGTTTTGTGTAATAAACAACTGCAAGGATAGATGATTACAACAAATAGATGACTAATACATAAAAGTAATACATAGATGAATAATGATGATGAGTTATGATGCGTAATCATGGGAACAAGCGGGTTTACAAACAGGGAGCAGCTGATTAGCATTAGAAAAGCTGAAATAATACCTCAGCTGAAGCCACAAAACCTGAATAAGTTGACACAGAAGAGACTTCAGTTTCAAGGCAAGGCAGAGATCCTTCCTTCCCACAGTGATTGTGGTCTTCAACAACTCTTTGAAGACTTGATTAGTCTGAGCTAGCAACAACACCTAATTTCCCTCTGGGATTAATAAAGTATTACTGAATTGAATATATATAAAGAATACACATTATATTGAAAACATACATATATATGACCATACCCATTTCTTACAAGTTGCATGCGTAATTTATACTTTAAAGTCAGTTGATAAACTACACAAACTATACAGATATACTGTAATATATATATATATTTCTATTTTATAGGTGACTGCTGCAGAGGTGACCCATGTCTACCACACTGTAAAGCACGGTTTAAGTTATAACTCGGGTGACTGTGCACTCAAACTGACTGTACGAATGCTGAATGACTCCAGTATTGCCAAAAAGATGTCCTGTGGGAGGACGAAAGCTGAAGCAGTTGTCACAGATGTCCTGTCTCCAAAGGCAATAGAAGAGGTGATCAAAAAATTGAAAAGTGGTGCAACTCCACTCCCGTTCTCTCTTCACACTGATGCTTCAAACAAGGGAAATCGGAAGATGTTTCCCTTGGCCTTGCAGTTTTTTACACCAGAGGCTGGAGTTGTCAACAAGATGTTGGATTTTGTTGAAAATCCAGATGAGTCTGCAGAGGGAATAGTAAAAATAATACAAAGCTCTCTTGAAAACGTGGGGCTATCCTTAGATCAGGTTTCTGCATTCAGTGCTGACAATGCAAATGTAAATTATGGCATCCACAACTCAGTCTTCACAAAATTGAAAGAGACCAACAGTGAGATCCTTCGTGGCAACTGCCATGCACATATTGTTCATAACACTGTGAAAAAAGCCCTGGACAAGCTCTCAGTTGATGTGGAAAATATTGTCCTGAAGATATACAGCTTCTTTTCCACGTCTGCCAAAAGGAGAGAGTCCCTGAAAGAGTTCTGTGAATTTTGTGACGTTGAATTCCATGATATCCTGCGCCATGTTGTGACGAGATGGCTGTCACTCAACCCTGCAATCACCCGCCTGCTGCAGAACTGGGACCCGCTGAAGTCATATCTCATCAGCATTGGTGAGGAATGTCCAAGGCGCCTGAAGGAATTGCTGAAGTTGACAGAAGATGCTGCTGGAGTTGAGGGAGAGGCAGACATTGTGGAAGTCTACCTCCTCTTCTGTAATAATGTCATGTGTCTGTTTGAAGAAGTGGTGAAAAAACTGGAGAAGAATGTAACCACGTCTGTTGACCTCTATTCCATCATGGAGTGTTTCCTGACAAGACTTATTCAGAGAAGAGATGATGGGTTCTACGGGTACCTAACAAGACAAAAGCTCCAGCATCTCTCGCCATCTGATGCTGATGGTGCCAGGCAGGAGTTTACAGCCTTCCTAGACACTGCCATCAGTTATGTCCGGAAGTGGTTTGACTTTTCAGAAGAAAACTGGCTTTTCCACCTGCAGCCCCTCTCTCTAGCATCTGGGAAGATTTCCTTTGATGACATGGAGAAGATCATTGAACGGCTTCACCTGGCTGGCAGGTAAGAAGAAAACATTTGCCAGTGAAATGATAAACCATGTTTTAATAGTATTGATGGTTAAAAATAAACAAATACAATTGATAGATAACATATATAAATAAAACCATAATCATTAAGTTTGTTTGGAGTGTATATACACACGCATGCAATCTTTTATACACTATTTTACAAATTCAAGGAGTTCATATACTTAATATAAGGATGGATAAATACATAATACATAAACTATACTTATTGTATTGTTTAAATGCTATACAACGTTATAAACATATACAATACATTTTTTCCATTTATTTACCACTGTAAATGTTCTATGTACCACTTAGAATTTAGGTAAACTTCTCATCTCTATTGGCAGGTTAAACATCTCTATGGATGAGCTTTATGAAGAGTGTGTCACTGCAACCAGCCTTCTGAAGCACCTCACCAAAGAACATCAGGAGAAGGAAAAGTGGCAGTCCAAGGGAACAGCAGAGAAGTGGATGGAAATTCTTCAGGCAGCTGACCTCCCCAATATGCAGGCTGTTGTATCCTTTGTACTCAGCATCCCATCTTCCACTGGGTTTGCGGAGAGGATTTTCTCTCTTATGAAGAATAAGTGGACTGATGTGCGGAACAAATGTTCTACTGAATTAATTAGAAGTGAGCTCATTGTCAGTCTAAATTATGATATGTCTTGCTCAGAGTTTTACTCTGCAGTACTGAAAGACAAAGAACTCCTAACTGCAGCAAGAGCTAAAAAAAAATACAAATGGAAAAAGTAGTCTGTTTCCACATAATGTAGCATTGAGCTTGAGTTCATGAGTTTGTTGGTTTTTTTCACTTCAACTTTCAGCTACAGTCAAGGCCTTTGAGGCACAAATGTTGTGTTTACAGGTGTTCCACAGACTTTTTTTGCACTTTTCTAATTGCACTAAATGTGCAGTGTTACAAGAATGTTTTTCTTTCTATTGTTTTCTATTAATTTATATAATTTTAGGTTAAGCAGGACAGAGTTCTTTGTGTTAATTTTGTCATTTTGCACAAAAAGTGAAGCGTACCAGTCTTTCGTTTAGGAAAGAGACCTATTTTATTGTGTTAATGTTGTCATTTTGCGTTAAAAATAAATGGATAAATGATCATTTGTTTCCCATGTGTTCATATCACAAAGAATATGCATCTACTTAAATCAACTTCAAGTCAAATGGTTAAAAAAAAAAAAAATTCACACTCAAAAAAAAAGCTAAAAAAATTCACCACACAGGGAAGGGTGAAGACAATTGGGTCGCCCGGCCCTGGCCACTAGGTGTCCCTTATTTTTTTTTCAGGGAGTTGGCAACCCTAGACAAAAGAAAACAATACTACAATTCACATTTAAAACTTCTATTCATTTTATTCATGTAGAAATATTCTGCACTGACCGCACAACCCGAAACAGCAGCAAATGTAACACAATCTAAAGGTTAGCTGGAAAAGTAGAGCTCTCCATGCTTACACCACACACACAACAAAGCTACAAGGCTAATTAGCCATGCTAGCTCAACTCAGCAGTATGTAATTAGTGGGAAGAAAAAGTAAATTTTATTTTGTCATGTTAGGAAATCTGTTGGAGAGGTAAGTGACGGAAGTGACGAATGGTAGCTTAGAATTGAACAAATTCCTTTAAGCTTAAATTTTACCAAATACACTTATCAATTGTCTTATAACTAACAACATTTGTCTAAATCTTCTCCAACACCCTGGAGAACAATGGGGAGAGTTTAGAGGCTCTCCAAGATTACATTGATCGGTGCTTCCAGGATCTCATGATGAAGAAGGCCCAGAGTGCAGCTTCCCCGGCCAAATCTGAGACGCTGTCATTGAAAAGATGTCGCCCAGCAGATTCCCCCGGCACAACATCACCAGCCGGCAAAGATATTGTCGACATACTGGAGTCAATCAACAAACGATTGTCCAGTTTCGATGCAAGGCTGTCCTTGGTGGAGATTCTTCACCGGGAATTTAAATCCTTGCGAGAATCCCTCGAGTTCGGCCAGCAGCAGGTGGAAATGCTCACTGCTGAAAATGCCACGGTAAGGGAGTCGGTGAAATGTCTCACAGAAAATGTTACCCAGTGTGATTACAAGAAAATAATTATTATAATATAAATATCTCTATATTTAGACTATAATGACACTCCCAGAACTTCAGCATCTGTTCTATGGGAAGCAGGGAAAGCTGTGATGAGAGGTAAAATAATTTCTTTCTCATCACATAAAAAGAAAGAAGAAAAGAAAAATATTCAGGAATTAGAAAAAACCACTAAATCCCTAGAAGAAGCCTACGCGTCCCACCAAGATCAGGAAACATTGAACAAAATACGCAAAACAAAACTAGAATTAAATGAGATAATTGATAAAAAACCTAAAATCTTAGTACAAAGACTACGCCTACAAAATTATGAACATGGTAATAAATCCGGTAAATTTCTAGCAAACCAGCTAAAAAAATAAAAATAAAAAAACAACTAAATGTGTTGTTCAAGATTCCACAGAATGTTGCAGGAAATCAAGGAAAATCGCAGACTACCACCAAATATGAATTCTGCAAACATTAATCTCCTGCTAAAACCAGGCAAAGCAAAGACCCTGTATATCCCTCAAGCTATCGTCCAATATCCCTTATAAATGTAGACCTTAAAATAATCTGCAAAGCTCTCTCAAAGAGACTGGAGAAAATAACCCCCCTCTTATGTCGGGTTCATGTCGGGCTCATAGCTGAAAACTAGCTTTACTTTGTTGTCTGGGTCGACTTTGCAAGCGAGAGACAGAGAGAGGCGTTGAAAGGCTGCTGCAACAGAACTTATTGTTTTGGAGGAAAACACGAATACGGTGTACAGTCGAGTCTTAATAGCGTACTTACAACTGGGCTCGTCAGGCACTCTTTTTGGGTGCAGTGGTTATTATTATATTTACATGCTTCCAGCTCCCGTTTCTGCTCCGTGACAACTCGTACTTTTCCACTCTCCTTTTTTCCCCTCCCTCGCGCTCACAGACACATAATGGGTATGGCAGTCCATTCTCCCTGCAGCACGGACTACAGTGTGTCCATCCTGTCCCGGGGCCTCCTCCCAGTGGGAGGTGGAACACCTCAACCAGGAGGCGCTCAGGAGGCATCCTTGTCAGATCGCTGAACCACCTCAACTGGCTCCGTTCGATGTGAAGAAGCAGCGGCTCTACTCTGAGCCCCTCTCAGATGACTGAACTACTCACCCTATCTCTCGTTCGCAGCCAAATGTGAAGCAGTGGGAATGAGAATCAGCACCTCCAAATCTGAGGCGGTGGTCTTTGGCCGTAAAAGGGTGGAGTGCCCACTTCAGGTTGGGAACGAGTTCCTGCCCCAAGTGGAGGATTTTAGGTATATCGGGGTCTTTTTCATTGTCTATTGTTGTGAAGAGGGAGCTGCGTGTAAAAGCAAAGCCCTCAATTTACTGGTCGATCTACGTTCCTACCCTTACCTATGGTCACGAGCTGTGGGTAGTGACCGAAAGAACAACAATGTGGATACAAGCGGCGGAAATTGGCTTCCTCCAAAAGGTGGCCATGTGTGTGTGGACTCAAGTGCAAACACAGATGAAGGCAAAACTGACGTGGATACAGTGTTTTATTTACAGTGACTTATTTGATAACAACAAACAGTAATTTTGCAAGAAATTCAGAAAGCTATGAACTATGAACTGTGAGCTAGAAAATTATGAACTATGAGACAAAACTTTGTAACGTGAAACCTAAACTGTGAGCTATAGCTAGTGTCATAATCGGACTGTCCTCCCCGGACAACCTGCCTGTTATATGTGTGTGTGTTTCTCTCCCTTTTCCGACCTGCTCATCTGTGCATTTGTTTATGGAAGTTTGTGGTTTCCGGAAAAGAATCAGCCAGGCAGCCTCCAACCCAGAAGCAACCCTGCATGAAGCTGGATCACCCGCACTTAATTTTTCTGCCAGCTACCTCTAAGCTTCCTTCAGCTTGGGTAGAAGTATTTAACGGTGTGGTCCGGCGACAGTCAGCGCTGGATTATTACTCTAAGCCGGTAGTGTCAATGAGCTCTGTGTTGCAGTAAGGTTGTGGCTAGGAAGCCTACTCACCTGTCGTGTGTTGTTTTCTGGGACGAAGTGGACAGTTGGGGAGCACAAACACAGTCACTGGATATCACGGATGGAGTCGCAGCAGGAATTGGGAGAAAAGCACTGTTTGGACTTTACACTTTGCTTATTCTGTGGATTATTGGGCACTGTAAATAAACGCACTGTTTTGCAATGAGAAGAGTTCTGCATTCTGTGTCCTCTCTTTCAGCAAACCATGACAGAATAATCCAGCCAGCCATGGACTCAGCTGACTCTACCCTGCTTCCGGGGGTAAAAGGGAGGAGATCACATTTAATTGGTTATAACACAGGGTCAGAAATATAAACATGTGTGGTATCTACAGAAACCTCTGAATCTCAGCTAAAATCTCATATAAACTATTTCTACAACCACCAAACACAACGAAAACAAGCCATGATTAAAATAACAGTTACGTAAATGTGCACAAGTTCACTAAACAAACAAAACCAAACCAAAAATTCTTCAGAGTTCATGTAACCGGCTAAAAAGAAAGGCTAGGTATGTTCCAGAGCTATCACTGATTCCAAACACCAAGTTTTACCACGGTCTGACTAAAATTCACTGAAAGAGCCGGAAAAGAAAACCACAAAAACACATACAGGCGCAAATGCGCAAAGACAGAAATTGGCTTACTGTCCCGATTTCCTCTTTTATTTTCACTGGTAGCCGGTAGCCTCATGATTATCAGCAGTTACCACGGCTAACTAGCTGCATCAGAGCCATCAACAACTTCCATTTTAGACCTACCTACAGACACATGACTGGACAGATGCCACATGCAGTAAATTTGGTCCCACCTGGGGTTTGGCCTTGTAACATCTGATTGGTTGAATTAACGTGAATGTGTCTGTGAAGGTTCTCAGTCATCCAGGTCATCATAGTCTAAGGAGCTTGGAAAGAAAAGCGTCTGGATTTCTGTAAGTTGCTTGAAGACGTTTCACTTCTCACCTCTCTCTTTGAGATCCCTTCCCAGACGCCTTAACGCCCACTCACACCCTGGGCCATCTGACCTCAGGAAATCACATGATAGGGTGGGGCTAGGTTTCACAATGAGCTCACCCGAAACCTGCTGATTGTGACCCACACCCATTTTCACACCTTGGCTCATGTGATTAGGTAGAGGATCAGGTCTCCATCAGGGGGGGGGGGGCTGGTATGAAAAGGGGAAAAACAAACAAACGCTTGGACACTGCTAGCACGGGGCGCCACACAAACACAAAGCAGGAGATGAAGCATAGCTGAATATGTTTCCAAACCAACTTCATTCTAAGCCAAAGACTAGAAAATATGTGAAGCATTCTTCCCTTTGGCTTCACCTGCACAAGTGCCAAGGTAGGTCTCCCCTGCATAATTGGTTTTCCCTTCGTTGGGAGCACACGCTGGGCTGTCCAAATCACGGAGAAACAGTATCCCACATTCTTGATTTTTAGTTCACAAGCACTTCTTGTAATGACTAACTAGTCCTGACATTTTGGAGATGTTAGCTCTTTATACAGTAAAGTTACAGCGGGATCCAAATAATATCAGGCTGATCCTGCCACAGTTTGTTCTCCTGGTTCAAATCCCGGACAAACAGGATCCCACAGATGTTTCCAAACGCCAGATCTGAATGAGGGTGGGGAGGTTCAATTTCGGGTAGCGTTAGGGTTGCCAACTCCCTGAAAAATAAATAAGGGACACCTCGTGGCCAGGGCCGGGCGACCCAGTTGTCTTCACCCTTCCTAGCTCTTTTTTTTGTGTGTGAAATCATTTTTTTAACCATTTTACTTGAAGT